TGCTGAGGTGAGGATGGGTTATTAGGGCTGCCGCAGAGTCGAAGTTGCATGAACTGTTATATTTGAATGGTGCAATAAACACAACTTATATTGTCTACTAGCAGCAAAACAGCAAAATGACACCATCATTCCTGCATGCCATGATAAGGATTTTAGAAATCCACAAAACGAAAACACTTCTTCTCCAATGCATTCCCACACCCCCAGAAAATGTTTTACTATTTATATTAAGAATTAAATATTTGGATTCTTTATGTTTTAAAGTTCTTTATGTTTATATTTTCTGTTTTGCTTCCCCACTAGAACATCATTTTTCACACTACCAGAAAATAAATCTGGAAGTAGAGAATTTGAGTGTGCTTCAATTAAAACCAAAAGAAGTTGCTAGTACAGAACCAGCAGCTGCATGGCATGTTTTTTTTTTAATCATAGATAACAGATCCTGGTATGATGCATCCCGTGTGTTTGTGAGAAATGTACATAAATTCAAGAGAACTATACTGCAACAGCGCTGCAAAGTGGGAGGAGTTAATTTTTGCCATAGACAATGTGTCTTACTGTTGGAACACTTCTACAGCTTGGATCAGCATTGAACTCTCAAGGTTAAATGATCAGTTCAAGAGATTAACAACTGTGTTTATTTGTGTGTAATTTTAGTATAGCTGCTGTTATCACAAGTATACAGAGAAGACCAAATTTTTTGTTTTAAGTAAATCACACAATGAGTGGCTATTTCCACAGACTGCTTACTGATATAGTTACTCTATGGGAGGAGTAAAGATTACATGTGCGTCTTAGAGCAATGGATGAATATATACCTGTTCAACATGCGTCTCAGACCCCCTATGGAGGTGATTTTAGACGCAATCGGACTTTAATATATAAATATAAATGGTTTTCATGGGGTCTAAGAAAAAGGGAGGTTATGGCAGTTTAATTTGTACTGAAGCAAGCAACTGAAGATTGTTAAGCAGCTTATGAAGAACTTCCAACAGTCTTTGGGATACATCTTTTTTCATTCTGAATCAATTTGAATAATTGAATAATAGGCATTTTTATAATGTTTTGATGAGTATGTTTTTCATCAGATACTTTCTTGCTGACAATACACAGTGAGAAGTATAGGTTCACACTGGATTGTTAGTGGTTCTGTTGCATAGTCACATTTGGGAATTCGACAAAATGAACAATGACATTCCAAAGTCTGCAGGGAAAGATTGCAGAGGGATTTGCAAATGCTTTTCAAAACTACACTTTTGAATCCAGCTCTTGCTGACTTACTCAACTTAATGCTGAGCTAATCCAGTAACATCAGCTCAATCAATCGCTGAAAACGTCAAGCAAACTCCAAAGAATGATTGAAGAGATGTTTGAAGTTTGCTTTGCCATACATTTCATGGTTTATTAGTCCTTCCTGCAAACCAACAGCTTATCATCATGAGTCTGACCAGATGGAGGCCTGGGTATGTGAGATTTGGGGAAAACCTTGTTTGAAAGAAACACTTTTCATTGTTTCAAAAATGTATTGTGACCAAAACTTTCCCACTGAGCTCTTATGTCCAACCCAACCATATTGTAAATTCCTTTTCTATAGATGGGCACTTGATGTATGCACACAGCCTGTGCATACAACTGATAAATATAGAAAAGAAGACAAAAGAGACAATAAATGAAAAGGGCTAAGCTACATAAAGCAAATAGCTTAAATAGCAGTAAAACAGATGAAGCATCACCAAGGCAGATAAAGCATATTTGTGTTATTTGAATGAATTTCTGACCTGGAATGCTAGTATCTCCAGCTCAACCATGATTGATCAACCTGAGATTATAGTTTGTAGAGGTCTGCATATTGTTATATCTGAAAAAAAAAGTCTTACCTCGTCCACTGTGACCGCTGCAGTACCAAAGAAAAGCAGAAGAAAACATACCTCTGTTCAGATGCTCCTTCTGATGCATGTATGAATTCTACATTTTGTGTTTACACTGGAAAAAGCACACTTTCTCAGCACCGGTTCGTTCGTTGCATAGAAAACAACAGGCACGGTTGTTTTGACAAAACATTGTATGACCCAATGGTCAGAGGCAGTGTTCCTTAACAAGTCCTCACCTCAGACTAATACTGCTCTGATTAAATAAAAATGGGAGACAGATGTTGGATTTCAAATAGAAATAGACACCTTAATAGTAACCTTTCCCCAAACTTTAACAGATAAAAAACTGAGATTGGAAGCTTCCTACATGTGACCCAGTAAGGTTCAAAGGCTTATCACCAGCTTACTCCTCAAAAACAATTTTATTCTGAAATGTAATTCTGCAATGTCTACCTGGACTAAAGGAGGTCCCCATACTGATTCACAATGTGTAAACGGACTCAATGCACATATACCTTTAGAAAAATTCACGCACTAATGTGTTCCTGAGCAAGACACTTAACCCCTAGTTGCTCTGCAGGTGTGCGACCTCTGATATAAAATAGCAATTGTAAGTCACTTTGGATAAATCTGTCAGCTAAATGAATAAATGTACAGATGTGGCAAGCTTAAATGCACTTTTTAAGAACAGTAGACTGTATTTTCCATTAATAACTTAATCATTTTTATTACTTTTTTCTATCTTTTTGTATTTCTAGTTAAGCAAATCAACAATTTATCCTGAGTGAAACCCACAGAAATCTATTGAAATTTGCGAAAGTGTAAAGGTATGTATTATATTACAAATCTATTGTATTATATACAAATATCTGTGTTTATATTACTGATGGGGACAGTTTGACATTGATTTTCTTTTCTTCTCTATTTTTTTTTAAATCATTTGCATGTGACTCTTACTTTTAGGTTTGTCTTTTTTACTTTTTCATCAAAATGTACAACAACGTTTCTAATTTCAGTCTGAAGTTATCATAGTGCCATTAAGCAGAGCTGAACCTGCTCTATGCTGCAGGTGAAGAAACACAAAGAGTTTTCCTACAGGGATCGACAATTATTATTCAGCCAGTGACTCACGGTTCACATACAATATAAAAAGAGCCTTTCCTCTGATTAAGTCACGTCTATATACTCGTCTCATTACACAACGCGCTCACACCTTTCTCATATCTTTCAAGTGCCAGGCATGTCTATTTCTGTGCAAGCCTGCCGTGCACAGTGGGTGGTGGGAGCGTGCACGTGAGGCAGCTGCTGGCATGAGGCCAGGAACCTGAAGCACACACACTCACATGCACACACACACACACATATGCCAGAAACCTGAGCTGGTGACAGCTTGGCCCCCGGTTGGTTATTTTAGTCCGCAGACACTCAGAAGAGATAGAAAGGGTTTAGCAGGACTGAAACGTATTATTAATTCTCACAAACAGCATTGTCAACATTTCTTAATTTATAATTATGCTTTGGTTCATCAAGTAAATCAATAATACCTGAGTGGTTATCTTTACATTGTATTTTGTGCATGACGGTGATGCAACAAGGTTCAACTAAATGTCATGATAAACACTAACTGCAACTACACAGCTTCTTCATTGTCTGTTGGCTTTTCAAATCAATCAAAAACATATTTTCTGCTCTTATAAATTACATTCAATAGTATATATGCTATAAGGATGACAGCAGTAAGAAAAAAGGATTAAAGCATGAATCAAAGAGAATTAGTACCACAGTTGGAAGTCATCTCAGATTTCTTTGGTGAAATGTCTCATTTAATTCTGTTTAATGAACACTAATGACTGGATGCTGCTAATTAATCGGTAATCGCACAATAAATCTCTCAGTCATTCTGTCACTCAAACTACAGTTTTACTTTCCCCTGTGCTGATTATAATGACTGTCATTAATGAGGTTTGCCAAGAAGAATCTTATATCACAGTGTACATATTATGTAACAAGCCATATGAGAGTTAAGTCACTGGGGAATATGTAGTGAAAAACAAACAGGTTCATTAGCAGCAAAGTTGTTTTGTTTGTTCATTACAAACATAAACAGACTCTTTTCAGATAAAACTACGGAAGCAGTCAGTTTCTAAGACTTATTTATATAAAGAGTTTGGTAACAATTTGAGTTAATAATTTAAAATTATTCATGGCAACGTAATTATATCATTTCTGAATTTGTGATTTTTTTATTTGAAAGTTACCAGAAGATGCATGTAATATTGTTTTGATGTTTAATAAATAGCAGTGCATGTAATTCCATGTGGGATGGGCCAAACACTTGGCATCACACAGAAATAAAAACCCTTTATTGACTATATCAGGTATACAAGATACCATGACCACAGTTCAAAAAATATCCACACAACCAATCAAGAAACAAAAATAATTGTAAAAACAATTACAGCCATTTTAAAAACATCAGATGAGTGCAGACAACAAGTGAGTAAGGTGCATTTGAAGCCAATATGGAGTCCCTTTAATTGAATCTAACACACATACAGTATGAATCATAATCCAGAATATCACACTCACACATTCACAAATATACACAGACACTGAAATAGTTACAGTTAGGCATTCACAGACATGCAGACAAACACACACTCAAGATGGTTTGTATGTGACTTAATTTAAAACATTTACACTCCCATCAAAGCATAAGCTTGTCGTGCAGTAAAGGAAAGTTGTGTATTTGAATGAAAACATCCCTATATATACACAATGAACACACATGCTTGTCCCCCATGTATAGCAGACTGACTCAGAGCAAAGGCCTGTTTCTTGTTTCTTGTTTCAGTGTATTTGTGTGTAAGGACAGAAACCTCAGAGCTAAAAACACTGGACACCTGTTCCATGGATCCCACTGGGAGAAATTCCACTCCTCAGTCACTGTGTGTGTGTGTGTGTGCGCGCGCGCTTGTGCGTGCATGAACCTGTGTCAATAACAAGAATGTTGACACTGGACTTTCCTGTCTCACGTGGACATCGCGCGACATCACTTCCTTTACGACCCTTCACTATTTAAAGGTCGGTTTGGAGCCAGAGGGGCTTCATCAGAGGATTATAGCCAAAGTCCTCGCACTCCTCACACCAGGGGCTCACCCACTGACCGACTGACTATCTGAAAGGCTCTGGATATTTCTGTGAAGATCCAACTCGGCTATAAAGGCAGAGGCGGATAGACTTTTGTCCCGATCATCTGGGAAGTTTGCGAGAAGATTTAAGTCGGAATCTGGAACCAAGCTCAATATTTGTTCAAACAAATTCAAAATCAATTTTTTATTTTATTTCTTATGCTTTGTTATTATATTATGCATTGAGCTAACCTCTCATTTTTGGACAGTTTAAAAACACTGGAAACAGTGCAACTCAAAGACACATAGAAACTCTAAGAATTCACTATAGGATCTAGGAAAACACAATCTGCTTATTGGAATTTTCCAACAACAGAGAACATTTCTGAAGCATTAGGAAGGATTTCTAGGAAACGTCCCTTCTAGTACCTGTCACCATGAGTAGTGGTGGGACCACCACAGTTTCACCACAGAGCCTCAGGCTTTCCAACGGGCAGTACGGAAGATAAAATGCGCTGCTATGGTAGCCAGCTTGACCAAGAACTGGCAGGGCTGGGCTAATGACCACACCAACAAGCAGGACGCCATCCCAAGTGGCTGGATGCCTTCATCTATTGAAGAAGAAGCCAAAAAAGAGCGAGACCATGTGGTCAAACTCACCGTTACCCCACGCTTAATTGCAGCTGATGCTGCTAACAGTGGGAGTAAGATCCGGACCTGTGTTGTGAACAAGACTGTCCAGCCGAAACGCAGTGAGTGCAGCAGCAGCGATTTGGTCAACGCTATCAGAGAGAAGATGGAGTTGGGTCCCAAAGAGAGCAAGCCGTTCTTGGGCAACGAGTCCCCGACACGGAGGCGCCAGATGAGGGCGCTACAGAACGCAGGAGGAGGGGTCATTCAAGACAGGAAGCTGGTGCTCCAGGAGAAGAAGCTGGGGTCAAGGAGCAGCAGTGTTGACACAGAGGACAGTGGGCTGGGAGAGGATGCTGGGCTCAGCGACAACGGTGAACCAAAAACTGAGCAGGGTGACATCCAGCCCAAGAAACAGACAAACAGACCCAAGGTAGAGTGGTATATTACAAAGATTATAAATGGATGGAATAAAGTTTAAACATGATGATATTATGTTACCAACATAATTTAAAATGATTCAACATGAATTTAAATTTAACTTAAGCTAAACCAATCAATATTTTTATATTAACAAAGGATCTTATAACTGTGTGTAATGTGGAATTGGTGTCACTTGCAGTGATAAACCCACCCCTTGAGAATTTAGCTGCTAAAGCAAGGGCTAAAAGGACAGTGAATATTGGACTGACATTCATTAATCAGGTAGCCAGAAACACGATTTCAAATGAATATAATAATTCATAATAATAATATAGTTTCATGGCTCCTAGACACGTAACATAGGTTGGATTGTTGGATAACACATTGACAACTTTAGAAACTGATGATAGGTCAGTGTTTTGCTATAAGCTTGTTCTGCTGCACTTAAAATTAAATTGAATGAGAAGTTAGCTGACTAGGCTAATACAATACAGTTGCTTAGAAAGAAAAGAAAGAAAACGTAATAATAATATTAATGAATAACAAAAAAAACAAGATATCATTATAGCAAACTTGACCATGGTACTCATATGTGATTTATATTTCCCATTCCTTAAATGCCCTGTTATTAGTCAATTGCCATTTAGTAGATTTATTAGTAAGTTTTTGGCTCAGACACCCAGACATTTTATTTTGTGATAGAGATTGTGAGAATACTGATCCTTTGTACTTTTTAGTGTTGCTGGTGACAGGATTATAGAAGACCTAATATGTGTCAATAAGTCAAACCTTGATTGCCCTTAATTTCAAGTATGAGACAGAAGTTTTTACCAGACAGTTATGAGTTTCTCCTGTCTGCATTTTCTGAATCAAACACACAGTCGAGGACAAATACGCTAAATTTGAGCATAAATATTCCCATGCAAGTCATATGGAATACACAAGTTAAAGCAGAAGGCCCCTTGATGTCACCTGAAGAAATCCTATTCCCTCATGGACACCTGACTGCATAACAGTTGCATAGCTCCAACACTAAAACCGTCTATAAAAGGAAAAGGAGCCGACCAGTAGCCCCTTGATGTGTCAACAGGGTTGCCAGAGAGCAAGTCCAACTCATAAAAACACAAGCTGGACCGCAGCGCAGTGGAATATATGTAAATAAATATAGTCATGCTCTGCAACATGTTCTCCAACCTGACCTTCAGGTGGAACAGCCAGGGAGGGAAAACTGGGTGAAGGGGGAGAGGGCAGTGAAGGACAACAGGGGAGAAAGAGGTAATATGAGAGACAAGAATAATTTAGGGAAAAATAACTTTATATATTTGGATGAGTTTGCAATGTTCATGTAATGTAATGGGAATGCCATCTGAATTAAAATTATTTGATAAATGTATTGTCCATGTTAAACAATAACATGTAAATATTAATAATCAAAAGAAGAAGAAATGCCCAATGGCATTGAGGTTGGTTTAATGGAACAGATTTCTTGGCAATCTGGCCATCAGCCTTTAAGATATGTTTGTTAAATGCAAACAAACACCAGCTCTGATTTGGTCTGCACCTTAGAAAAATAGGGTGCTGCTGCTTAAAATGGCTGCTGCTTCTGGAAACAATGTTGAAGAAGGCGCAGAGATAGAACCCAAACAGCAAAAGTGCATAAAATGAGCTAAAAGCTAAACAAACTGCAAAGTCAGGTGTGTGGTCTGTGTATTTGTCATTACAAGCAACACCACATACATTACACACAGTCTTCTGATCCAGTGTTTATATAAAATGTTGATTAGACAGTTTAAATAAAAGTAGCAATACCATATTGTAAAATACTCTAAAAAAAGTTAAGATACAGAATTATTTAAGAATTTAAATAATAATTAATAAAATCAATTAGCAATGTGTACTTAAGTATAAAAGTAAAAGTCACCATTATTTAGAATGGCTCCTTTCACAGGGTATACATTAGGACTGCCAACTTTAAGTACTTTGCATGCTGTTGAGTAGTTTAATCTATTACAATGGGCCATATTTTATAAACTGATCTGATCTGACAGGTAACTTGTAACTAAAGCTGTTGGACTGAAATGTAGTGAAATAAAAAGTACAATTTCTCTCATATAATGGAAATGCCCAAGTAAAGTACAGATAACTCAAATGTATACTTGAATATACTTTACTTTTCCACTACTGGTCAAAGTGCAGAGCAGAAACACGGCAACCATTGCCTAGAAACAAAGACGGAGGTTAAATTCAAAGAAGAAAAAATGGGATCAGGAACATTATCACTTTACAGGTTTAGGGTTTCATGGAAGGTCCCTCTGTAACAAGTCTTCACTTTTCATAGCACAAATACCAAAGAGATATGGTGACATTGATCTGAAGACCTGGCAAGCTGAGGAAAATACCGAGGGAGGTGATAGGAGGGGGGAAGGGGGGACAGGGAGGTCTTAGTGGGTGAAGAGATTAAATAGGAAGGGAAAGAAGATGTTGATGAATGAAGGCATAGAGACAGAAAAGAGGAAGAGATTATGAGAAGCAAGACAAATACAAAATGAAAGAGGATGGAGAAAGGGAGGAAGAATTAGAGATGAGAAGATGTAGAGAAGGATTTTTTAAAGTTTGAATTGGTTAGTAATAGCACTGCTTTTCACAAAATTACTAATACTGGATGTAAAATACGTCTGTGCATGCTAGTTTATATTAGCATACATACAGTATTGCCATTAGTGTATGTCTGGCTGTGAAGCAAAGGCCAAGATGGGGATCAATTACACCAACTGGAGGGGAGTTTATTTAAAGATTGGGCAGAGGTGTGGGGTCGATGCAGAATCCTTAGCAGATCTGAAAAAAATAATACCAAACTAGTTTTAACTGAAAGAGAGCAACAGCCTCTTTAAGACAGAAAGTAGCAGGGGTTATGGAAATGTGGTCCAAACAAAGCTTACTCACAGATTTTGTTTTTTAGGGTGTAAAGTCCTGAATTCTGAAAATGCTGGATGCTACATTTCCAATAATACAACTTAATATTCCTCCATTATATCCATCTGATTGTAAATGTCTTCTTTTCAAACTCTATAGTGCAATTTTTCAGGTAAAGATAACTCTGATGACGCCACTAGGACATCATCTGAAGGGGTCCAGCTTTTGGCCCTGGAGGTGCCCCTTTAATAAACCTAATTTACATAAGATGTTTCGCTTTGTTCATTTGTTTGTATGGAAAATATCGGATGCTTTTTAAACTCTGATGTTAACCTGGCCACTATTCTTTGTCTCCAGATTAAGGTTGCCACTACAGGGGACATCAAAAACCGCTGGCAGCAGTGGTCCAAGCAGCACATTGAGGGCCAGAAGCTGAACCCCTTCAGCGAGGAGTTTGACCATGAGTATGCCATGGCCCAGCGCCTCCGCAAGGGCGACTCCGGCTACGGTCGCCCCAAAGACGGATCCAAGACGGCAGAGAGGGGGGACAGAGCCCAAAAACACATCCACAGGGAGATGGAAGAGATGGTATGGATTATCAGAGACATGGGCTTTAAGGATAAAGAGGGGAGGACTATCATTAGCTTCGGACGGCTCTTTGATCGCTACGTGAAGATCTCAGATAAGGTGGTGGGCATCCTGCTGCGCTGCCGCAAACACAAGATGCTAGATTTTGAAGGGGAAATGCTGTGGAAAGGACAGGACGATAATGTCATCATTACACTTAGGGACTGACAGAAATGTCTTACAAACAGTCACACACATGCAAACACACCCACAAATTTCACACAACAGCTTGTAGAGAAATAAAGCAATCCATGCTATCCACAATGCTATATCATGTACACAAGGAAAATTAAGGAATATTTGGATACATTTAATATGATTATAATGTTCAAAGATAATACACCCATACACAAAGCTTTAGGGATATACACATGGAAAGGAAATTATAGTTTTATCAGTCAAATAATGGCAGAAAATAAAAACTAGTCACATTTAACTTTAAATGTACATAAATTATTCAAGGGCATATACGTATATGTGGAGGCTTCACACACACTCTCACACCAGACTCATTAGTTCTTCTCATATACATGACAGGTCATTCAGTGACGGGAAACTATCTTTAGCATGCTAACCATGCTCGCCTTGCTAACTATGCTGCATGCTGGAAGCCTTGAGAATCCACCACAATGCCATTCATGGTAGAAATCTTTACTCAGATTTCTGAAGGATCATCTAATAACTTATCTAAAGACTTGACAATGTTATTTTGTTCTTTGCTAATTTTGTTGAAAACAAGTAAACAAGGGTAGCATGAAGTTAAAAACGTTACAAAATAATTTAGACTTCTGGTTACACAGCAATGTGACCAAAGTGTTTTATTGTCCTCTTTTAACTGAATTTAGTGTCTCTTGCTAACAGAGCTTTAAGTAAATGACTAAATAGCAGTTTGAGCTAATGTATACATTTAGGCAGGAAAAAAGCTGAGTTACTATTTGATTTGTACATTATTGTTAATTTATTTTCATTTTGTATGGGATTTAAATGTATGTTTACCAAATTTTTAAAATATCATCTTTTGCTCAAATTAGTTTAGAGAGGGCAGGTGACCACACAATTTCAATTGAAAGCAGATTGAGGAAGTTTAGGAAGCTCTGTTTGGGCTGATACACATGACTGCCTCCAGAACCATTAACTTTTTGTAAACCACACTGACTACATATTTGTGAACTCTACAATAGCAAAAGGATGGTTGTCATGCCTTTTACTCTTTATTTTCAAAATAGAAATGCTTTTTAGTTGTGTGTTAAACACAGTAATATTTTTAATAAAGGAACGCGGTAATAACAAGAAACTTGAACTACGTAATGGAAATCTTGTCTAGACTCTATGTCTAATATGTAGTCGTTTTGAAAATGACTGTATTGTGAAATGTATTTTACCTCAGTTTCACATTAAGGACATTTACTGTTGAACTGTGTTAAAGGTTCAGTGTGTACGTTTTAGTGCCATCTAGTAGTGAGGGTTGCGAGTTGCAACCAACAGCTCACTCATGACTCACAACTCTTCCCTTTGCAAGCGTGTAGTAGAAGCTACGGTGTGCTAAACCTGTGCTAAATAATATATGTGGTCCTCCATTTGTCCTAATTTCACTTCTCTTCTTTCTTCTAATAAACCAGACGACTACTACTACTCCTTCTTCTTATTCTTCTTTCCTATTCTTCATATGTATTCAACGTAGTGACGAAACGTGCTCTGTAGAACAGTTTGTCTGATTGGGCTACTGTAGAAACATGCTGGCGCTACATGGTGACTTCCATGTAGGGTAGACCTGTGGTTCTGTAGACAGAAATAGCTCATTCTAAAGGTAATAAAAAAATAATGGTTCATTATATAAGGTCTTTATACACCACTGAAAATATGTATATGTATGTATATTATATTGCATTTCTTTCAATAGATCCTCCTAAATATTACACACTGGACCTTTAAATAAGAATAAGATTTGTTTTTAATTTTTAACATTTTCTTCTTTCAAAGTGAAAGCCTGTGGGTCTTCTTACAGAAGTACAATTATGTTACAAAATGTGTTACAAAAACGGTGCAGGGTTGTGGATCAACCCTTTCTCACTCCCTGACTCGTCACATATGGATGCATGGTCAAGACCCATCAGTTGTGTCATCATTGTCAGTTTGTAATGCACTGGGATCCCAGATCACAGCTTCATAGTTCAACACAATGGGGGAAACACTGTAGTGTCAGTTTTTGAAAGTTAGGTATATGATATTTAGCAGAAAGTACTGTGTAAGGAGATGGTTGGGGTGGATGGAGGGCCAGAACCCAGACTTTGAACCAGGAGACCGGTGTTCGTGTCCTGTGTGAAACAAAAAGTCAACATTAAATATTTTATTTAAGTTACGCAGGTTACGTAAATTGCGTAAGTTACGCAATGTGACGTAAATTAACTTATGTGTTAACGGCCGGACGTTGCATATTTATTGTTGTTAACTCTACCTGACGTTGCATATTTATTGTTGTTAACTCTACCTGACGTTGCATATTTGTTGTTGCTAAGCATTGCGAACTTGACCACTGAGCCTTAAATATCTAAAAATTACGCAAAAGGGGTACCCAGGTGTTCAAAAGGGCCTTGACTAAGCGTCAATATGTAATGAGTCAGGAGTGAGAATGTGATGTGTGGATCTTGCACAGATTGAAATTATTATGGGTGTGTCATTACAACATATTTGTCTCAAGATACGCAATAATGTACAGAGCAATACAAGATGTAATAAGGGTTATACGTATATAGTTGTGGTTTACATTTCTACCTGGTGGGCTTCATAAACTTTACTTTCTTGAATGTTTCCCCAGTGTCCTTATTTACTGATGTCAATATTGCAATGAATTATGGGCTATTCCCTTTGAAACCTACAGAGTTGCAGACTTGCTAAAAATCTTTGGGGAAGTCTCCAGAAGTTCATGCCAGAGCCCTTAAATGCTTGCTGATACTGCAGTGAGACAGTCTTAAGCCCTTGTGGACTCTGTGGCTGTCAGTCCAGACACTATATCAGAGCTTTTTCACTTTTCCTCCTCACCCTCCACCATAACCACATTGCCATCTGATACTAAATACATCTTCAGTATAACTGAGGACTCCATTTAACTATTCTTACAGCTTAAAAGACTCTTACCTCGTATTTAAAGATATGGCCATTTTCCACCTGAGCAGTAGCATAAACACCAGAATCCACTTAATATTTGATACATTTGAGTATGTTAAAATACTTCTGAAAAGAGACCTGTTGAAATCATGCAACTAATTACTCTCGTTGCTTTGTAACAAAGGCCGAAGTAATTTTTCAATGAAATCATAAATCACTTTTTTACTGCCTGTTTGTCAACGAGCTATAACCTCACATAGAAATGAACGGCTTGCCTGTTTTCTCTATTCTGCTTCTTATGTGAGGGAATCGGGTCGGATCAGGTTCTCTGCATGCACACTCCCGAGCCTCTTACCAACCTAAAGCACACCTGTGCAATACCCATGCTGTCTGATCAGCATCTTGTTATGCCACACCTGTGAGGTGGATGGATTATCTTGGCAAAGGAGAAGTGTTCACTAACACAGATTTTGACAGATTTGTGAACACTATTTGAGAGAAATAGGCCTTTTGTGTACATAGAGAAAGTCTTAGATCTTTAAGTTCAGCTCATGATGAATGGGGGCAAAAACAAAAGTGTTGCGTTTATAATTTTGTTCAGTGTAGTTGTGGGGCAGTTAAGTGTTTACCTGCGGTAATTGGATTGAATCAAAGTCCAGCTCCATGTTACTTCATTTCCTCCTTTCTTTTTGTGTACAAAACCTGACAATGTCACGCTACAAAATGGCAATGTAGCAGGGGGGCGCTACAGTCTGTCACGGCAGAGGAGCATCAATAGGTGCGTTTGAGATTATGGTGGCTGACTTTCGGCGACTTCATAGTCTAACGTGAGCTGCAGGTGACTGCAGGGTCGGCGCCGTAAAATCAGACACATTCTACCTGCGTGAGCTTACTCAGAGCTGAGATCAATGACTGATCTTGCGGCAATTGCAAAGAAAAATGCAGCGAGACTAGGCAAAAGTGTGGTTCCAACTTTGTGCAGCCTGAGAAAGGCAACTGCGGCTGCCGGACTCGACGCCTGCAGTCGCCTTGCTTTAGGTTTTAATGTCATGTGACATGGTGACATTTTGCAGCGCCCGCTAAAGTCAGACACGATTTCTAACCAGCATGCATCACATTAAGTGAAATGCACCTAGTGTCAAAGTACAAATCTTTCCTATGGTGTTATTGTTTGAGGTAAAACATGCTATTTTTTGGAATTTACCCTGTGGGGAAAATGATTTATGTTTTAATTTACATTTGCACCATCTGAGGGCCTCCTGCTGGTTTAATTTACTGTGTGAATTTCTCTTTCTGTCTTTGTGTATGCAAGTCACGCTAGTATGTATGTGTGTGTGAGTGTCCTCTCTATCTATCGGTCTGCGCATGTGCATGCAAGTCATGCGTTTGCCTGTGTGTGTGTGTGTGTGTGTGTGTGTGTGTGTGTGTGTGCGCGTGAGTGCGTCTGCCTAGTGTGACCTGCCTTGGTGTCACGCAGTTGCTTTGTGTGTATGTGTGTGTGTGTGTGTGTGTGAGTGTGAGTTTGAGTGAGAGTGAGAGAGAAAGAGAGAGAGAGAGCTTAATACAAGCTTATCAGTTTGGTCACCAGGGAGTCTGAACGTCTGCCAGAGAGAGACAGAGGGAGGGAGAAAAAGTGAGTGATGGAGAAGAAAGATGTAAAGAGAGCAAGAGAGTTAATATGAAAGAAAAAGGGAGGAAGAGAAAGAGCTAGAAAAGATAGTAGAAGGAAGTAAAAGAGCAAGAGACATAGAGACAGAGAGCATTCCATCTAGACAGACAAGCTAATGCTTCATACGTCTTTTGCTGTTGACTGTTAAACAAAATGAATCCCTCCTCTCTCCTGCTCCACATCTCATTCTCTTCCTCCATCTTTCTTGTGTTTTTCCTTCTCGTCCCCTCTATCATTTTTTTCGCCATTACCCTCTTATCTGTTCCTAGGTTTTCAGGTTATTGAGATTCAGGAAAGTTTTTAGGAAATGTGGTCGTTGGTCCACCTGTTAATTAATGAAGACAGAGCACTGATACTGAATACTTGCTTTTAACTATGTGTTTGGCAACCTACATGACAACAACAATGGCAGTTTTAAAAACAAAGAGAGGTAAAAGCAGGTGGGGTGTCTCAGGGAAATTGTTTAGGACCGCTTTTGTTTGAAATTTTAACTAATCATTTGCCATTTGTTTTCAACAATGCCAGCATCGCCATGTATGCAGATGATGCCACAATATACACATCAGCACCCACATACCAAATGTAGAAATTAATTGAAAAGTTGAATGAGTAAATATAAACTGTAAGTAAAAGATTGGGTAATGTTAAACAAATCATTAACATGCATTTTAAATCACACCCTCCTTGCACCTAACTAACAAACAGTTACAGTAACAGTTACAAATGACAAAACAAAATGATTAAGTTTAAATGTTAATATTAAAATGACAAGAAACAGGCAAGTAGATCAGATTGTGAATAAACTGAGGAGAAGCATGGCAATTATTTTTAAAAAATTATTATTTGTACTGCCATCATGTAAAACTGGTTCAACAGGCAATTTGTTATCGTGAAAAGGAGTAAAACACACTTTAATAAAATGTTAAGATTGTATTTATTTACACAAGAAATGGAGTAGCCAAATATAGTTCTGGTGGACACAGAGAGCTATCCATGCTGATGTATGTTGATATATGTAGCTTATTGATTCTAAGTGGTTATATAATTCCATTAACTATCTATTGTACTCGACAGGTTTTGAAATATTCTGTTGTTTGTCTATGTTTGTCAGTATTGTTAATCTCGTGGTGTGTATAGATGTCAGGTGTTATTTTTATTTATTATTATTATTATTATGTGAACAATCTTAACATTAACAATATACTGTGCTAAGCCTCTTTGACTGATATTTAATTGTGTTACCTTTGTCCAACATCTGGTGGCGGTTTGGCGCTCGAGGTATAGCCGCATAATGTCATTGATTATTTGAATCCCCTGACACTCCAGGATTGGTCAGGATGAACTGACAGCAGCCTCTCTAATCATGAAAGTAATTCGTTAAAGCACAAACACATAGCCTATACAAATCTATTCACGCATGATCCATCAGGGGAGCTACTGTCTTGTTAAGAGGAGCCGAGCTCCCCTGTAGTTTGCACCCTGCCTACATTCTCAATCATCGGATCCCCGCAACAGCAAATACGTTACTTTTTTACTTGAAAAAAGTGAGCGAGGAAGTTTAACTACCTGGTAAGTTCTGAAAATATGTTTCTGTTACTTGTTACTATAGCTGGAAAGCTATTGTTGTACGTTACTATAAAACAAGTTGGCATAGCATAGCCCTGATCGATCCGAACGCCATTTAGAAAACAAGCACTTTAAAAGTTGTTTGCTTGTCATCTTGCGGACAGACTTGACAAAGCATGAATTATTTTCTTTCATCAGCCTTTCTAAAAAGCTGAACCATTTTCTGGAGTTTTCCGTTCTGTAGTTTCTTCTACTGGATAGTACAATTTGAACACTTCACATTTATCCCAAG